CAACAACATAGTTGTAGATGTATAGAGGGGTCCAATACATCCTTATAGACAGATAGATTGAGTTTTAGTCTGTATTGTAAATGAAGATTTGAATTGTTGCTGGCATGAACAATGTTCTGATCCCTAGCACACAAAAATGAATCAAATAATAAGTAAAGTTTCCCTTTATTCTTTGTCCTCTTTTGTAGGGAATAGGGAAAGGGGACATCAGTAGAACCTCTGCAGTGAGTCGTAGTCTCCTGTGAGCTACAACAATACAAAGCCAATTAACTTATTAGATCAAAAAGATAGAAAAATGAGACTTAGAGAAGAAGCTGAGCTTGGGCCTGATCGGTACTGCTCTGGGCAGCAAAGACCGAAGCCCTGAGCTTGCTGCTCCTTCATTCAGTCCATCAGGAGAAACAAACGGAACAGATGACTCAGGGCAGAGAGTTCCATAAATTGTACATGGGAGAGAAACGTGTGTAAAAGGTGACTCTGGGCAGAGACCACGAAAATCCTGGAACATTGAGGAGCTGTGCAGGTAAAGATTTTGTGCCTCCCAGGATGTCTTCAGCTGGTGTAATCCTGCCCCGGAGCATCCCAGCATCACCGGACCATTGTGGTCTTAGCTGTGACTGGGGGTGAAGCTGGAGTTAGGTCTCCACGTGCCAGCGCTGGCCTGTAGGCAGGAGAACTAATTATGATTTAAATGTGAAATGATTTTCCCTAGAATTATGTAGAATTGTTCCCGACACTCTTTAAAAGTAAAATCTTAATTATCATAGGTAGTGAGAACTTCTCAGAAAAGAATTTCAAAATCTAAAATTGGACCTAGTGTTGCCTGAGGGTGACTTAGTTGGAACAAAAATTTTCTGATTTTTCAGAAAGCAGAGCTTGATTTCAAAACTTGATAAGATTTTAGAATAGTCATCATGATCAGTGATATATCAGGCACTGTGTTCCATTATACTTTATTTATCTTTTTGTATATATGAATCACGTGTCCATATTTCTCTGTATCTAACATTATTATGCATTAGCATAATAAATTTCATATAAACATGAAATAAAATTGTTTTAGCAAGATTACTAAATCTCTAAATTCAGATCATAATTTTTTATTTTAAAAATTCCAAAGTGCTGCTCTGGGAATCATTCTTTGTTAGCCTGTAGATTAGTAATTCTTACCTCCTCTTATTTCTTTATTGGTGGCTATGAAAATGAAAATAGGTTTTAGGTTTCATGTCTTTTCCACAAGATTGTAAAAGAGATGAAGGGCAGGGAGCAGAGTTAGTTAGGGAGAGAGCTGCTCAGGATTCCCTTTGCCTGTACTGTTCGCTTTTTTGTGTGTAAGTGAAGCTTATTCTCATTCCACTGAATGTATCCTGATTTAGCACAAGCCATATGTGTATGTGTGTGTGTGTGTAATGTGTGTATATATATATATATATATATGCATATATAGTATATGTTTATGTGTACTATATATATTTATATATATATACACTATATGCACACACATACTATATATAGAGAAAATGCATTCTTTGTATAAGTAAATGTTGGGTGAACTCTTCATATAGAGTTTGTAAGAAATATTTCCTTTTAATTTCTACTTTCATAAATTTTCATGTCATTGAGTTATAATTTTCTGCTTTTCAACATCAGTATAACCAGCTCCCACCTTTGTTTTTTCTGTTGGTGGTAATTCTAAATTTGACATTAGCAAACCATGAGGAAAGACCTCATGAAATTCTAACTATAACTGTTCTTACTTGATAGTGCTAGGGGGCAGTATTTACTTAATAGTTTCTTTCTAGAGACAAGTGCTGTGTCAAATCAGTTGTACATAATATCATGTTCTCTAGAAAATACTTAGCACATGTATGATTTCTCTTCATCTATTTTCAGTTTCCAACTTTAGGAAAGGGATAATATCTCTAATGTAATGAAACTATGCATTTTACATTTGTAATAAAATATTTTCAATATTTAATTCCTTTTTTAAAAAATAAAACCCTGACTCGTATTCAACACTCTTATTTTTCTGTCCTCTTTGTGTATCAAATGGTATGATGAAGCTGTGCTAGTATCTTGAGAAACTAATATGAAAACTTCAATAAAGACTTTAAAAGGGAGAATTATAGAAAGAATAAATAGCAGGCATTGCAGTCCAGCAGATCCCGTTTTATTTATCTGATCTTAATTGGTAAGAGGTAAATGCTGCTGGCAAGCACCTCGAAATTGTTATACATTATATTAAAGATGTTGATTCAACTTGAATTATTACTTTTCAACCATCAGTAGATCTGCTTCATTTTACCGATTTTTAAAAACTTCAAAGCAATTGTTATCAAAGTGTATACATATATATGTAACATATATATAACACAAAACCTCAGAATTAATGAGTTTTTCAATACTTCCCAATATTTAATATGAAGAAAGTTTTCCCAGTATTAACTAAGAAAGATTAAATCACTTTCTCATTATTCCCTATTGTTGAAATTTCTCAAGAAAGTGTATAGTCTCAAAACTGCTTGGACCTGTTAATATATCCCTTTCAATTACCTTGTGTGTTGCATTCTTTCTTTCAATAAATACTCAGGTGTGAGTCATTTCTCTATGCCCTAAATGCATCAGAGGAAAATAAAAAATACCAGAAGATTTCTCCTCATGCTAATGGGATAGACAGTAAGGAAGATAAGTAAATATGCAATGTCATATGTTAGGTGCTGGTGAGTTCTAGTAGAAAACGTCTAAAGCAGTGAATACTAAGTGCTTAGGTAAAGAAAGAATTGAGTTTATAAATAAGGTTTTCAGGAAAGCCTTGCAGAAAAGGTGTCTTGAATAAATGACATCAGGAAAGAAGAGAAAGATCAGTCCCAGCAGCAGAACCACAGCAAGAGCCTTAGGTTCGCAGAAGTGTAGCAGGGTGCAGAAAGAGCAGCCAGGAGGCCTCAGTGGACAAGAAGAGGCCAAACAGGCGATGGAAGGCTCGCGTATGTGGAGTGCAGATCGTATCCCTAAAGCTTCAGCTTTACTCTTAGTGACAGTGAGCCACCAGATGCTCTTGAGTAGACCAGTGACATCTGATGTAAACATCTGAACAATATTCTACTAAGCTGAGAGGAATCCAAGCACAGACAAGGATAGACTATGAGGCATGGGCAGTTGCAAGACATGACAGAACTGAATTCAAGTATTATCAGCGAGCATACAGAGAAGTTTATTCAGTAATAGAACTGCTGGTGACAGATACCGTGGAAGAGACAAGAATGAGTTCATAATTTTTTGCATGAGGAAGTACAAGAGTAGCATTGCTCTTAACTGGGATATATAAATGTACTTGGTACAGGTTTTGAAGGAGGTTTCAGGAGCTCAGTCTGTGTGTGTGTGACACACAAGTAGAAATACCAAATAGGTATTTGCACTTACAAGTTCCGAAGTCATAGGCGAGAGGAGGAGATGGAGCTGTTGTAAATACAGGAGTTTTCAAACTACAGTTACTATTTAGGAAAAAACAGAGAACTTAAACAGATCCCAGAGTGGAACTGGGACACGGCAATATTTAAGAGTCAGAGGATGAAGACGAGCCTACAAAGGAGATGGCTAAGGAGAAGACAGAACAGTGAGAAGAAAACTGATGAATGTGGTGCCCCAAAAGCCATGTGGACGGAGAAAAATAGTTTTGGGAAGTGTGAGTAGAGAGCTTTGTTCAGTTCTGTCCACTGATAAAAAGATTAGCAGTGTGGCAATTATAGATAACCAAGAGCACTTTAATTGTAGAAGCAAAATTCCTCTGTAGATCTTCATAATTATTAAGTTTAATAATTACTGAGAGTAATGAGGGGTAAAATGTACTGTTGACCAGTTGCTGAAGAAATCTAGCAGTGATTCTTAGTGACAAATAATTGGCTTTCCTCCAAAAGGTATTATATTTGAGAGGTTGACTGATACTGTGTAAGCCATTCTCTTCTAATCTTTTATGTTTAAGTTTAAATTAGGGTAAAGAAGTCACATTTTGTTATGTTCTGCTGTTTTCTACAACCTATACTCGTTACTGTGAAGTCACATATTTTGATGCTCTTCTATATTCCCACTTGTAATGCTTCTAGAAAGAACTATCTGCATGTCAGCCTGTCTATGTGATGAAGTCATGGAGATGAAAAGACTTTGTCTGCCAGTAGCACATATATCTAAGTTAGCTGTGTAATCGTGTAGTTCTTGACTGGGATTTGAGAGCGTAGGTACTCTACTGTGTGCAGTGCAAATGCAATATGCAGCTCCGTTCATAAATTTACAATTGAGAGGAGCTGAAAGTACACTTAGGTAAGCGGTGGGTAGCACAAGTCTTTGTTTGATAGTAGCCTGTATTGATTGACAAAGCTAAATGAAATTAGTGCTTTTTCAGGAAGTGATTGTTTATTTCAAACTTGCTAACGAGAGGTGAAAGGAACCGCTCCAGCTCAAACTGAGGTGGAGTAGGAAGAGAATCCCTTCTGCACCAGGCCGAGATGGACTGAATGATGCCTGTCCTAGCTGGGAGGACAGTCTGCTCAGTGCACTGACTCACACGCTAAGCTGACCTGCTGACACCCTCAGACACATGCCCAACATCAGTGTTAATCAGATATCTGAGTATTCTGTGATGCAGTCTTTGACACATAAGGTTAATGGCCATAAGGACTTTTAAAATCTCACTGTATTTTTTGTACAACTGAAAGTGCACCCTTAAAGCTAGCATACTAGTATTGTGTTTGAATTAGTATGGTCTTGAGTGTATCCTTTGATGAAATGAGATGTTCTGTGAATAACTCCTTGCAGAAAGGTCATCTACATTTGTAATATAGATAGATATCATATAATAAAATATTTGTGATAAGTGATTGAATTCATTTCGTTTTAAACAGTGGAGTAGAGAAAAATAGTTTCTTTAGCCATTCAATTTATTGGGGATCATTCTAATTATATATTTTATTCCCTCTGTCTTTTCCCTATTTTTTTTCTACTCATAGCTGTATGCCATCCCTTGGTTTCTCACCATGTTTACTCGTAAGTATCATTTTTCTCTTTCTTTTTAGCATTGTTATAGCAAAAACACAGCTCTGCTCCTCTCTTCTCTAGTATTTAATATTATTTTACAATAATATTAAGACAATTTAACATGTATACTTATGTAATTCTGTTATAATAGAGTTGGGTAAAAAAGAATTCTAGTTGTTCTCTCTCTTAAATATTACAAACAACTGTATAGGGTGACAGACTGTTTTCCATGTTGATATTCATACAAGCTTTGCCTATTTTTGAAAAGAGAATTTAAAATCAAGTATAGTATTTAAATGAACTCCATGAAACCAACTTTGGAACCAAATCAGTCTTAATTTCTAGGGAGATCCTCTAATAACAAATAATTTTATTTCCCAAACTAGTTTTCCTATAGAAATTAAGCAGGTTATGTGAAAATAGAATAATTAGTTATAAATATTAACACCGTATATAGCTGTACTTACATATAGCACATATGACAAATGTCATAATATTATGAAGTAGATCTGGAGACATTCTCTAGAATGATATCCACAATATTAAAAATTATTTAAAAATTCTTAACAAAAATTTTGATGGAAGTTTAATAAAGTTATAATGCAAAATGGAAATGTAACCTTATTATACATAAAGCAGTGTTATTTACCTAAATAAATAAATTTATGTAGGGTGAAGGGAGGGCAGGGGTAAGGGGAAAAATGAGAACCAAGACCTGTCATGTAAAGGTACAAGATCCCAATGATGAATGTAACTGTACTGTATACCTAAAATGTACCAATAAACTCAAGGAGGAAAAAAAAGAGAAGAAAAAATAAATTTATGTAAACAGTATAGCTAAAAAATTCTGGGGAATCAAATTTTATGACTGGAACAAAGTCACTCCATATTGAAAATAGAAGTTAGAACATACTATCCATTTCACTAGTCTGATTAACAGATTTTAAGAGGACTTTGGAAGTTAAATTTTACAAAGCCGAATATTTTATGACCTTTGAAAGTGTTAGCTATTTATTTATTTATGAATGAGACAGGGCCTAGCTGAGTTGCCCAACCTGGCCTCAGAATTGCGGTCTTCTTGTCTCAGGCTTCTGTGTATGGGATAGAGGCACAAGCCCAGTGCTTTGCTTAGTATTATTAGCTCTTGAAGAATAGACCGTAAGTTAATAGTCATATGTCTAAGTTGTTTTAGACTTTTTTAATGTTTAACCAATTTTTAAAAATTATTCCACAGATGTATTCCCATTGCATAAAATATTCCACCTCTGGGACACCTTACTACTTGGGAATTCCTCTTTCCCATTCTGTATCGGAGTGGCAATTCTCCAGCAGCTACGGGACCGGCTTTTGGCTAACGGCTTTAATGAGTGCATTCTTCTCTTCTCTGACTTACCAGGTAGCGATCTATAAGTGGAATCACTAAATGCAATAGGACTATAAAACATTGAGCTATTTTAAGCCCTTTGCAGAAGTAATCACGCAGGCCTCCAGCATCTCTACCTGGGAGTCTCATTTCCCCTCTCTGCTCTGTCTCCCTAGCACACTGCCTCTTCTGCTGGCCCAGCACTGCAGATACAAAGCTGGGCCGGGGAGTTCACTGGTTTACGTTAACCACAGTGATGACCCCAGAAGGGTAAAAGGCTGGTGAAAGGTGCTCCTCTTCGGAGGTCAGACCGACTTGGGGGAATTCTGTGTTATACATAGTGCACCAAGTTAAGCTGTGTAGGGGATGCATATGGGAGGAGTTTGAATACCGAAGTCTGAAATGCTTAAAAGTGGAAGTATGAGGAACAGCTGGTAAAAATTGTTTCCCACATTGTGGATTGTCTCTTCATGCTGTTGGTAGTTTCTCTAGTTGTGCAGAAGCTTATTAATAAGATGAGATCCCAATTGCTGATTGTTTGTGCTAGTTCACATACAACTGAGGTTTTATTCATAAAGTCTTTTCCTACACCAGTGTCTTCAAGAGTTGTACCTAACTTATCTTGTAGCATGTTTTGGTGTTTCTGTTTTAATATTTAGGTCTTTGTTCCATTTTGATTTTAGTTTAGTGCATGGTGAGAGATATGTGTCTAGTTTTAATGTTTGGCAAGTTGAAACCCAGTTTTTCCAGCACCTTTTATGAAAGAGGCTATCTTTCCCCCAGTGAGGGTGTTTGGCTCCTTTGTCAAAGATGAGATGGTTGAGTATTTCTGGAGTTATTTATGCGTTTTCTAATCTGTTCCATTGATTCTTGGGTCTGTTTCTTTGCCAGTACCATGCTGTTTTTAATCATAGTAGCTTTGCAGTATAGTTTCAAGTTAGGGATTGTGATATCCCAGCCTTTATAAAGATCTTTAAAAAATAAGACTTCCCAAATTTAAAGACCCAATCCAAAAATGGGCATCTGAAATGAACCGACATTTCTCCGATGAAGAAGTAGAAACAGCATATGAACCTATAAAAACAATGTTCAACATCCCTGGTCATTTGAGAGATACAAATGAAAGTAATGTAAGATTTCCACTTCACTCCAGAAAGAACGGCTGCTATCAAGAAATCAGCCAGGGCAGGGGATTTAGCTCAGTGGTTCCACCACCTGCCTCTCAAGTGCAAGGTCCTGAGTTCAGTACCCAATACAAAAACAGAAAGAAGGAAAGGAGGAAAGGAAAGAAGGAAGGAAATCAACCAATGACAAATGCCGGAGGGGCTGTGGGGAAAAGGACCCTTCTCCACTGCGGATGGGAGTGCAGAGCGGTGCAACCACTGTGGAAATCAGTGTGGAGAGTCCTCAGAAAACTAGGATTAGAGGTTCCATTTGACCCAGATATTCCCCTGCTGGGTATCTTCCCAAAAGAGTTAAAAGAATTATACCACAGCAATATATGCTCTCCCATGTTTTTAATGGCCTCATATGTAATAGCTAAATCCATATAAGGGGAAAAAACCCTATACTTTTGCAAAAACTAAAATATTTTTAGATAGAAAAATTATTTTTCACAATATTTTATTGGCTCCATACCTTCTGCTCATTCTAATGCTATCCTCCATATTTTTAGGCACGCACAAACTGTGCTGATAATAAATACACTTAGAATTATCCTACAGATAAATATGCCTGAAAACCAAACAAAAACAAAAGAAAGGTCCTTTAAGATTATGTATTTATTAAGCAATCTCCAGAAGAATAAGATACCTGCTGCCTTCCTTATTTTAAAATTTTAGAGGATAATCTGTATTTGATATTTTATATTCTCTCTTGAAAATCTTCTTTTTGAGGGAAAATTATAACAAAAATGCATTTGGAATAATCGAAAAATTCTCTTTTCCCTCCCCCAAGTTAAAAATATCCATCAGCTAATTTATCAAATTTTAATTAAAGTGAATGATTTCTTATATAAACATCTACTTTTGTTATTTTATTTTTTCTGAGAGATTATGAAAGAAGCTAGTTCCACAAACTAAGAATGCTGTTTGTACCCTAGAGATGTTTTCTTGTCGTTTCCAACTTGCAAAGAAAACAGGATGACTAATTAGGATTAAAATAATTTTCCTGATGTTATAAAAATGTATGCATCAGAAATGCTGATTGTTCATTTTTAAATACTGTAAATTGATGGGTTTCCTATTCCATATGTAAATGTTCCCATTAAACATTGGTAAAGGAATCTGTTTTAATGTTTTATAGGCAGATTGGTGGTATTAGTCAAAAAGAATAGATAGGCCAACTCTATATTTTGCTTCTAATTTTGAGTCAGTTTATAAAGGACGGGATAAGCACGATATGAACTTACTAACTATGTTGTGTTCTATTGAAATGCCACCCTACTGAGTTTAATGTTATGGCTTGTATCTAGATGTCCCTTCAGAGCCACATGCTTTTCCAGATACGGTTGGATCTAATGTGTGATTGACCCATTGTAGGCAGTAGGATTAAGGGTGTGAGTGCTACCCGCCCTAAGTAGTAAAGTAAAAGGGGTGGGAAGACACTGGAAAGGCTGTCTTGTTGCCTTAGCTGCCTTGTGCGTGCCATTTTGTTTCTCTTCTGTGAGGCCTGTTTGTCATCCCAGCCTCCAAGCCAGGAGACTATGGACTGAAACCTCTACAAAGTGTAAGCCAAATAAACCTCTTCCCGTTTAACTTTGGGTGTCAGATGGTTTGTCTCAGCAATGACAGAAAAGTAACTAACACAAATTATAAGCAGAACAAATTTAACTGCAGGCTGTGATAAAGCAGGTTGGCTAAGTATTCAAAAGCTCTCTTGGCAGTAATATAATACACACCACACTCTGGTGACCTTGTATACAGAACAGGCAGGCATTTGAGTTCTAATAGTCCCATATTTAAGAGCATGGCCAGTATAGCTAGGTCATGTGGGGTCAAGTCGGGCTCCACCACTTCTCCCTGGCTAACCCCAGAGGAGTGGTTACCCTCTCTATATCTGTTTCCTCGTCTCCAACCATTTGAGAATGTCAAAGTAGCTATTACTGCATGCATTATTGCGTTGTCAGCATATCCAAGGACCTGCAGGATTGGCTGACAACTGCAGTATAAGTGACTATTATTGTCATCATTATTATTACACTTTTCCTCATTTTTTTATTCAATCATAACATGCTTGCCTCTTGGTAATATCATTGGCAGTGACTTCCTCAAAGTTACTGAGTTAGGTATCAGTCATGTACACCCTTCCAGGTCTCATCCCCCGGGGACCCACCTCTTTGTCCAGACCCCACCTACTAATAGCATGTGAGCTGATGGGTGTGGTGCGCCTGATCCCCTCACCTTGTAAACACGTTGGACTGGGGGACAGTGCGGCTGTACTACAGCATTCGGTCTACTTAAGGTCCCTCTCATTTCTTCCTCCTTCCTTCCCTTTGTGCTCTTTAATTCTTATAGGGAGAATTCAGCTGTAAGTTGTAATTCTTTTGGCCAAAAATTTTTTTTCAATTTCTATTGCCTTGTAGATGATAGAGTGTGATTTTACATTCCAAGGAAGTACAAGTGGTGCTATAAAATTTTGCTAAAAGTTCTTGACATGTATTGGTGTGTATGCCATGTTAGTACTAGAGAAAACTATGAGATCGGTACACTTGGCATTCCTCATGCAGTCTAAAAATAGTGGCAGCATATTTTGGAGGAAATACTAAACTTTCATAGCCCCATCCAGTGCAGGCTTTTGGCAGGGGTGTCAGAGAACATTTCCAAGGTTACAGCCTTTTAATCCCAATTATGGGATGAGGTTTGCCAGTATTCATTCTGTTCTCCCTTTGTGATATTCTGCTGTAGTGTCTATTTGTTTGAATTCTACAAACTTCTTTTGAGGATATATCCACACAGTTTTGAAGATGAGCATGACATATGAGTAAGACCTAAAAGGTAAAAATTTGAGTGGCTTTCTCAGAGCACAAATTTTTAAATATTTTCTTGTGGCATTCCCTTTGTACAGTTGAGTATTGATTCAACATATTAAAATCATTTTATGTAGTTGAAACAGATTCTTAGAATAGATATCCTTATATTCCTGAGCACTCTCGGTCAGGAATATTGATAGACAGGAAAGAAAATTTTTTTAGAAAACCTTAGAAAAAATTGGGATATCTTTGTGAAAGAACCATTAACTTACTCTGAGAATAAAACTGTGATTTTAACATTAAGAGAAATAAATGTATATGTAAACTGTTTTAAAATAAATACTGAATGTAGTGGAGAATTTCAGCATAAAAATTTCAAGTCCTGTTTGCAGAAACAAATTAATATTTAACTGAAAAACAATAGCGTGGTATTTGGTTTACTATATAAGCTTAATTTAAAGGAAAATCTTAAGTAAATTTAAAAACCTTTTTTATTTCATCATCACCTACATACTTTACAATAGAATTTATTTTGCAGCACAGATATGAAGAACATCACTAGTGTATTCTTACTTTCACTGGTTCAAAAGCATTGTAAGCGTTCTGAGAATGCTAGGTACGGTTATTTACAGTGACTTACTACAGCTGTGGAATACAGCCCTTCCCATTATCTAGCATGGCATGGCGTCATTCGTGAAAGCAACACTGTTTTCTCTCTCTGTTGGTTCTACAGATTAATAGGTTCCATTTTATCAGATTCATACATGCATGTAACCTACTCTGATCGGTGTCATCCTCCTATCTCCCTTGCCTCTTGTTGCTGCCTAATTCCACATTTTTTGAGGCTTCTGTGTTATTTTGATCATATCCATCCCCTCTGTTACACTTCCCTTATTACACTTCTCTTGTCATAATAGTCTACTTGTCATTTTCTTTTCTTTTAAGATTAGGACATTCAGTATTTGTCTTTCTGAGCCTGGCTTATGTTGCTCAACACGATTGTCTCCAGATCCATCCAGTTTTCCTGCAAATAACAAGATTGTATTCCCCTTTACACTTGAGT